TTTCTTTTTCTCTCCTAAAACCATTGGGGAGCCCAGTGATTGGACCAGCAATTTACAACAGAAATCTAAATCCTGAGAGGATAAAGAAATTTTGATGCAATATGAAGATCTATAATAAAGTATAGTGAATTGGCAATTGTTCTTAATATGAATATTCTATTTCAGCTTGCTATATTACATAACTAGGTAATCTATATTTTTAGGTCATCTTTCCCACAGGCAGAAATGTATTATTGGTATTTCTTCATATACTGGCAGTTTTGCTTTATAATATGTCAAAATATATGTCTTGGGTATTTGTTTGTTTGGTTTTGGCTTTTTTAACAGGGCACTATTTTTTTCTGGATTGTGTTTTGTTAATTTTGAATTAGCAGATTGGGTGTTACTAGACAGTAGCTGTAAAAGCCATCACGTTTTGCAGAAATAAGGGAGTTGCCACTCTCCCAAAGAATAGTCTGATGAGCCTATTGAATATGGCAACCAAAAAACTTATCTTCTTTAATTTGAAAATGGAAATATTAATATATTTTAATGACAAAATATTTTGTCCACACACTGTTGTAAATTTCTGGAATTTGCTCACAATGGAATCTCTAATTCCAACAAGCAAGGCTGTCTGTGTGCCTTCTTCGGGTTTTTTTCTTTACTTTTCCTCTTCTCTATTTTGTGTCTTAGGTAGCCTTAGAATTAGGGGAGATGTTACTGAAAATAGGATTAAAAGCATTTGTGAAATCAGAGCAGGAATAGAAGGCAGGGATCATAACTGCTTTGGGTACTTCCTCAGGTGTGGAGAGCATTGCAGTAAAGCTGCCCTGTCTTAGGCAGGATTTGTTTTATATAGGTTAGTTGCTGCAATGGGTTGGTTGCACAAGGCTTCCAGAAAGAGTCAGGGATAGTGTAGGTGAGCTTTTAATGCTGCCCTTCCCTTTTTATAGCTCTGTCTTGCGAGACAGAGTATTGTGGTTTCCATTTAATCACCTTTGAAATAATTGTCCAATTGCACAATAATACACAGCCAATCTTTCATAAGTTTCATATGTTTCAAAATAGACAAGGGAGTGGTGTTGAAGACATCTACAACTGAGGACATGAGAGGAGGGAAAATGGAAGATACTTGTAGTGGTCAGTAGCAACTGCAGTGTTAAAGGTCCTCTTCTTCAGCTGATATACAGCGTGAGGTCTAAATGTCTCTCCTAATTAGAGAAAAAGATTTGCCCCGTGGCCAAAGGGCCTAAGCTTTGATGAGATTAAATGTATTAATCAAAAGTTTCTGTTCTGTTTTTTCAGAAGAATGGAGTATCAAACGGAACCCTCTACAAAAAAACATTTATTGAGCACTTTGAACAGGCACCAATGTATGTTGCAGTTTTTACTTTCGTGGGGTTTGCAGTGGGAACAATATTTGGCTACCTGCGAGATTTTATGAGAGCCTGGGGACTAGAAAAACGTAACATTGCTACGGAGAGAGAACAACAAAAAGTATGTATGAAAACGTCATTATATATCCACAGCTGAGTTTTCCTCTGATTGCAAGTGACTTACAGCAACTTGTGGAAGTAACAAGGCAGACAACTTTCATTTTACAGAACGTTGCACAGGGGTGAGAGGAGTGACACATCATGCCAGTGGAGCTGTATGCATGTGTATAATTATGTATCTACATTTATGTAAAATCTTCATTTTTACCCAGGGACATATTCAACTCATTCTAGGAGTGCCATAATACTCTCAGCAAACCAGAATCTTAGTATATTAGGTCAATGCATAGAAAAAGAAAATTCATAAATGCCTTATTGTTAAATATGCCATCTTTCCAAATCTCTTCAACCCTGATTTTCCTTTGTCCCATCTGGCTATCTTATGCTGAATTTCACAGTCAGGAAGTTCTAATTTTGTTCTAATTGAATTATTGTAACTCCCAAATTTTTTTATCCTATATAATTCCAAGTGAACCTTGCACCTGAGCAAGATCAGCTGCCTTCCAACTTTGTTTAAAATTTTTGGTTCCTCCTCCTCTGTGAAGTTTGAGTCATCATTTGTGGTAACACCTGGCATAATGAAGGAAAAACAAGAGAAGTTTTACTGTTTCTCTTGCAAATAAAACTCCTGAAATTGTTTCCTGTTTTAGATTTTCAAAGATGCATGCATGACTTAATGAATATCACTTTCAATTCACTCCATGATCTGGCCATTTGTTAATTCCACTTGTGCCAGTTAATTTTTTTTTTTATTCTTCACTATGGATTACATGTTTATTTAATTTTCCCACATATGTTAACTGCATACCATGTTATTTTATCAGTTTGTTGTATGCAGTGCCCAACATAGATATATTGCTGTTTCATATAAAGCTTTGTTTAAATTTAATTTCCAAGTAAAATCCATGGATATTCATTAATTCTCAACCAAAAAAATTGTCTTAACTGGATGATTGCAGTAATGCCAAAATCACATATATTACACTAGCTTTTGTCTAATGCATCCATCATTTAATGAAATGTAGTAAGTCGTTTATCCAACTTTTCTGCAATCTGATCCACACATAGAAAAATGCTCAATTTGAAGCAATTGGTTTCTTCAAGTGAAAGAATCTTGATTTTTTTTTCCATTTCCAACTTTCAGGATATATAGGGAGAGTTGAATCAACTTGTTTACCATTTGATAAAAAAACTATCTGACCAACCAAAAAAGAAACCAAAAGTCCCCCAATCTTTAAACAGAAACAAAATACCCTCTAAGAAATACAACATTGTGTTTTAAAATAATTATAGTAAGCATACTGTATTGCTGTTTGGAGTTGTGACATAGGACAATGTGGCTGCTATGACTCTCTGTTTATTGATGAATCAGTTTTTCCTTGTTAATAGGAAAGGCTTGGGTACAGAAGGAGATAATTTCATTGCAACATAACCCTGTGCATGTTTTCAAACCAGGATTTTGTGCCACTTTATCAAGATTTTGAGAACTTTTACACCAGGAACCTCTATTTGAGAATACGGGATAACTGGAATCGTCCCATTTGTAGTGTCCCTGGGCCACAGTTTGACCTCATGGAGCGTGTTACAGATGATTACAACTGGACATTTAGGTGAGTCATCTTACCCTCTGCCACTCTCAGCCTCATAAACATACTGCTGACACCTCTGCAAAACACAGAAACTTGTGTCCCTATCCTTGTCTAATATCCACCAGCATGTTTCTTCCTGCACTCAGTAACATGCTGACAATCTGACCCTTTTCTTCTGAGTATTTGTTTGGAAATGCAGTATAGATTTCCAACTCAATTGCAAATGGTTTTGGCTGTGTCAGCACAAGACTGCTCACACACCAATTATAACAACAGATCTTGCCTCTGAATATTGCAACAAAATTTGGTTTATCCGTTGGTTAGGTTTTATATAATGTTTTTTTGCACTGCATGAATGTGGCTTCTTCCCTTCATAGTGAGTCTTTGGCAGTGGGTTTGAAGCAGATTACAGCTTGAAGGTTTTGGTGCATTGCAGCTGAATTACATAGCTATGGGAATTCACAGCATAGACAATGTGTAGGTTGGCTAGATTTGAGCTTATTGAGAATGGATCATAGTGTCTCCCATACTTTCATTAAGTTCTGTGTGTGTATGAGAACACTCATGACTTAATGGAAGCAGTTGACAATTTGCTTGAAAAATTAATGTCTGTAAGTTGTTCCTTAAATAAAGTCATAGGTTTGTTTGTTTATTTAAATCCATAAAAGCAGCCATTGATCCAGTATGTTGCCATCTGTAGTGTGCCTTCTAGAAAGCATTCTGACCAAGAAACAGTACTTACTTAGGAAAAGAGGAAGGCTAGAGAAACTTTTGGACTGTTAGAGTATGAGGACTGTAAATTCGCAAGTATAAATTTGACACTGGAACAAAATTTGGTGGGAAAATTTTGAGATTTTTTCATTTGGGATGAATATTGCACTATTGTTCAAAATTTGCTTTAATTACAGGTTTACAGGAAGGACTATCAAGAATGTAATCAATATGGGTTCTTATAACTACCTCGGCTTTGCAGAAACAGATGTTAATGCTTTGAAAACTGTGACCATAGAGTTAGAAAAATATGGGACAGGAATCTGCAGTACCAGGCAAGAAATGGGTGAGTAAACAGTGAGACGACCACCAAACATTCTGCAACTATGCGCTTTTTCTCACAGATGTCTTAAAAAAATTAGATACAGGGAACTTTGATCACATCAGCAATTACTTGTTTCACAGTTAAAAGGAATGCTGTGTTTCATTTTTTCTCACATGAGGGTTTTTTTCAAAAAGGAAAACTAATACTGAATTTTGGAAAAGCTAAACTAAATGTGTCATCTACTGGCCTGGGATTTTTTAATGATGGAAACACACACACATTGAGATTTCAACAATTGATCTGGGGTAGATTCAACTGCATCAGAGATTTGTATCAGTTACCACACACAGAGGTTTCACATTAGTAAAATGATCTTTTACATAATGTTTTTTAATCCCATGTCCTAAGAATGTATTGGAATGTTTAATGAGATGCCAGTGGCACAAAGCAGAAATTTCTAGTTTGCTTTTAGCAAATAAATTCAGGAAGGCTCCAGCTGACATTTTTGGTTTTATCTGTTATGATTGTCTGCTTTGTTAGTTTGTAGGCTGCATGCAGTGTTACCTTCAACTTCCTGTTATTACACAAAGCATTGCACTCCTTATGGTACAGTCATCTTACATTTCAAAAAAAAAAAAAAAAAAAAAAAAAGAAAAGAAAAGAAAAAAGGCAGCTTCCCAAAATGGAGAAGTCTGTAAAAGATTTCTTTTTTGTAGTCCAGCAACCTAAAAAAAATTACATTTTTGTCTTCAATATAAATTATTTTCTTCCAAAAATCTTACAGAAAAAAATACTGTGTTTAATTTAGTTTTTTTAATGTAAAATCTCCATTTCAGAAGAAAAAGTAATTCAAACTTTGTGATCTGCTTCTTATCTTGTCATTGTGATTTGACTTGCCAATAATAATTATGTCAGTGACACCAGTCAGAGAGGGTTTACAGATTGACCCTACTTTCCTTTTGTAGGTGACCCATCTGGTGACTGCAATATATTATTTAACCTGAATTGCATGCTTGAAAGTGGTCACCATTGCTAGTCCTTTAAGGTATTGAAGGAAGCTTTCTCTGTTTTTCTCCCAGGTTCCATTTTGTCTAAGAACATTTCAAGTTGTTTTCAGGACATCTAAGAATATGGCTGGTGTTCCTCATTCTGTAGCTTTTGCCGAATTTTTTTACTGGAAGATTTATTCTTTAAAAAGAGAAAAGAAAATATAAACACCAACCCAACTTATTAAAAGATTGATTCTGTGTTCAAATATTAAAAATCATACAGAGTAACTTCATCCTATTTGAGAGCAAGTGTATAGTGATTTCTAGGATATTCTCTTCATCTGAACTCCAGTACTGTACTCAAAATTGTCTTGACTGACTGAGCAAGGATTTAGATTCATTCTAATTGCCTTCACAACAAACAGTCCCATGAACTGCATCAAGACTATTCACAATGCAAGGATGAAGAGCATCCCAAAAGCCTTGTGAGTCTCAGTCTTTTGGAAGTGGATATGGGAGAGCAGCTTGGACATCGACGTGCTGAAAGGAAAGCAGGGTGCTAGGGCCAGGCTTAGCTGGTGTAAATGAGCAGTCACAGCAGTTTATCCTGGGCAGATACAGAGAGCCTGTGTTTGTGTGCTCCATGGAGAGAGTGGCTCCACAGGGCAGGGCTGAGCAGTGGCTCTTTGTTGGTGCTGGCTCTTTGGAGCTTGTCTGTCAATAAGATTTGTATAAACAATCTAAGGAAAACAGCCTCTTATTCATAGTGCATACCCTCTTTGCTTGTTCCTTTATGTTGTTTGCTCCATTCTCATCACAGTCCAACAGAAAAATTCTGAGTTACATATATATATATCAAAGAGAGAGACGGGGAAGGGTCTGAATGAAACACCTTACCTTTTAAAATTATCGTTTCTCATCTTCATCTTAGATAAAAGGAACAGGATGAGTTTGTTTCTGGGCAGATCACATTTCAAAACTTCTGTTGTTATTGTGTGTGGAGATGAAGTGTTTTGAAGTAAAAGTGCAGTGAGATGCAAGAGCCAAGGCTGTAAATTGCCTGTAGGGTTCTAGTCCAAGAGAGCACTTGAATGTATTTGTATTTTCAAGCTAATTCACTTTGAAAGTACTGTTCTGCTTGTGTGCATTTGAGTGTCTGGCATGTCTGAGTTTTAGCAAGATCTCTCTCTAAGCAGTGGTAACTCTCTTTCTGAGAAGGATCATTCCACTGCTTTCAGAGGAATTCAGATAGAGAGTAAAACAAAGAGGACACAAATAAAAGTAATGTGAGTGATGTTTGAAAAATTACATGATGGTAAAACTGTCCTTTATGGTCTTCCGCCTACACTTCTCCTCTTAAAACTATGGAGGTTGTGGAGAGGGTATACAATGCTATCATATCAGAATGATGTTGCAGGTAGTTTCCTCTTAGAACAGGGTTAAAATTGATGAAAACAGTGGCTGACCTTCCTAGACTTATCCCCCATAAAAAGATTTAAGGCTTTCCAATCCATTTCGAATTCCATGCTCCTCTTAATAATAATAAATTACTTTCTTACTATAACAGTGTCATTTCAGACACGATTCTGAGGGTTTTGTGGAACTTTCAATGTGAAGTAAAAATACTTTCCTGTTTTTAACACCAAGATAGTTATTAGCCCTTAGGAGCAAAATTTTGAAGTTATAAGTGGTACATCCATGAAAGAATTAACTTGCTGTTCCACGCTCAGAAAGCAAAACAAACACTAGAAATTACTAGAATGTACACAGAAAGCCAACCATAGAGCCTCAGTATACTACTTCATAAAGCTGCTGTTTGTTGTTGTCTTGAGTACTCTGTGCAGGTCTGATCAAAAATATTTAGCAAAACTGGGAAGTATACAAGAAGAGCCACAGGGATCATCAGAGGCCTCAGAAAGCTTCTGGGTGAAGAACTATTGAGCTTGCTGTCTCCAGCTGGTACAAATGTCTGTCTGTCTCAAAAAAAAAGAGCCTAAGGGGAGAAATTATAGACATTTTCAACATAATGTGTGATGTGGAAGAGTGGTCAGGGTTCACTGTCCTTTCCCACTACCAGATATATGGGGCAATGTATGAAGCTGGTAGAAGGTTTTCATCTAAATGCTGCCAGACCCGAGGAGCTCATTGCTGCTGTGAAAAACACCTTCATTCTCCTGTGAAAATTTAAGAAGTTTAATAAAGGACAACAGGAGACAAGGACCATAGAGCAAAGGTTATTATGGCTGGGTGTATCTTGGCACTCAGCCCAGAGCACCCTGTTACCTTCGGGGATACCCCTTAAATACCTTTTCCCTTACATCAGCCTGTTGCATAGTCATAGACGCTTATATATATCCATAAACTAGTTTACATATTCCAGGGACTATTTTACATGTGTGCAGAGGAGTGCTCACTGATAGTTGACAGAAATACCCAAACTGTACCTGATTCAGGATGTCCTTTTTAACTCTGAGAGATGCCAAGAGAAGCTACAGAGAGATCTGCACCTATTATCTCTGAGAAAATTGACCATGGGTATTATTCAAATTAAAACAGTTTTTGTCAGCAGCAGTCTCTCCTGTAGGTTCAGGAAAAGGTAATTTTTAATTTCTTTGCTTTGTTCATTATACATCAAGAAACCAATTGTGACACAAAAAGTTTTGGTTTTTAGGAATAAATATTGGGTCTGAGAAAATTATTCTTGAATGTTGAAGGATTTAAGTAGCCATCCAGTACTTCAAGGTGGCTACAAGAGAGCTTGAGAGGGATTTTTTACAAGAATGTGGAGTGACAGGATAAGAGGGAATGGCTTCAAGCTGACAGAGGGCAGGGTCAGGTTAGGTATCAGGAAGAGATTCTTCCTGCAGGGGTTGTCCAGTGGATGCCCATTACTAGAAGTGTTCAAGGACAGGCTAGGTGGGGCTTGGAGCAACCTGATCCAGTGAAAGGTATCCATGTCTCTGTCCAAGGTGGGAGTACTGGAATTAGATTATCTTTAAGGTTCCTTCCAGCACAAAATATTCTGTGATTATTCTATGATTATCTAAGTAACTGGACACCAACTGTTCAATTAACTGGAGTGTTGGGAATGTTAGGGCATTCCATATAAACTGTCCCACAAAACTATCCCTACTGTTATATGTATTTTAATTTTTCTCTCAAAAGTGTTATTTTTTTAGCTTAATAAAACTGCCAGCACATAGGAACCTAAATAAATATGAAATAGCAAGCATTCCCTCCATATAATAAAAATATGAAAGAATGACAACTTGAATGTAAATTCCTTTTTCCCATGCAAATCAATGTATTTTAATGGCTGGAGTGGGAGTTGGCTACTGCTAAAGGCAGATTCAAGAGCCTTTTGTCTGAGCCCATCCTGTTGTTCAGTGTTTATAGCCAGCCTTTTCTAAGCAATGTGACTGAGAATTATGGAGAAACATGCAAATTAGTTTCCTGCTTGCTGCTTGCAGATGATAACAAAATCAGCAAATTTACACTTTTTTTTTAAGATAAGGCAGATTATCATGCTCTGAGCACTCCTAGGGCTCCTAGGGCTGGGATGGTGACAGGACTGTCACATGGACAGCCAGCACTTCCAATGCTCTGTTTATCCAACTCTCCAGTATTCCTCATGGAGATGACATATGTGAGTAACCAGAGCAAACGTGTGATTAGCGCTGCTCAAGCAGCCAGGCAGGATTCCTGCCTTTTGTAATACTTCTCCTGTGATTATACCTTAGACCAAAAAACAAGTTGGAGCCTGCACAGAACACTTGCAGGGTGATTCACTCTGGAGGGCATATAGCAGATTACCCTTTAACACCTAACTTGCACTCGGTTTTGGGGCTTTTTCTTTGTTTGAGGATTTTTTTTTACACTTGATTGTGATCTCATTTCTAAAAAGCAGATCTGAAATTCTGTGCCAACATTTAATATACAAAAGTAGCTCGAACTCATTTACCTCCTTCCACTGGGTTTTAAAGATTAATGTGAATTTCTAGCAGCATTTCAAGAAGATTAAAATAGTTATTT